CCATATAACAGATGAGGCACACACATAACACGTATTTCATATAGACATAATCAGATCTGTAAGATAGAAAAGTGAATATACATTCACACACATAACAACAAATATACACATAACATGTATCTCGTATAAAATATTTCATAGTTATACGTTAGGAGAAAGTAACAACGCATTCACACGTATAAACGACAATAAACTTAATACACTCAAACCATACTTGTATTATTATTACGTTTATGAAAGGTAGTATACACTCTTCGAAGTACGCGGGGCGTACTCACTTATGCGGCGCGTAAGTCGGGATCAGATTTGTGACTCGTCTTCGGATAATGCTTCCGAATTTCAATTAAAAATAAATACAAATTATTTAATAAACTTCGGAAATTCATATCTTCATCATACGAACTCCGTTTTTGATGTTCTTTATATCCACAGAAAGGTGAGACTAATGCTCTACAACTTTCGTTTAGACTCCGTCGGCTAATTTTGAATTTATTTTTAATAGGACGTGACAGCAATTTTCGTTATAAATTCATAACTTCTTCGTTTGACGTTCGTTCTCGCCTAACTTTTTATCGCTTTGATACTAACAACGAGATCTTCGATTCTTGTTTAGATCACTAAGGCTAATATCGCTTTAACGTAAATTTCACTTTTTACGTTAATCAGCGGTGCCGGTTCTGTCGCGAAACTTCGACAGGTCATAACTTCCTCGTTATAACTCGGATTTCGGCATTCTTTATATCTTCAAAAACCTTGTTTCAACTACTACAACATTATCTAAAGTTATCAAGTTTATTTTACACTTAAATTTTGACGCTTATTTTTATTCTTAATTAATCAAACCACATAATTAAAACACAAATTAAGCAAAACACTAATACTCAAATAATACAATCTTATTATTTTCAAAAACGGGTTACAAAGGTTAACTACTGACCATTACATTGCCTAAAAATGGCAAGCCCGGAAACACAGGCATTACAATTCTCTCCACCTTAGAATGATTCCATCCCCGGAATCACACATCAACAAACAAATGCAGATAGCGACTTAACATGTCACTCTCCGTCTCCCAGGTGAGATTCGGCCCATTCGTTTGTTTCCATCGGACAAGCACTAACTCGACCATCTTGCGTCGCAACTTCTTAGTTTTTCGGTCAACAATTGCCTCTGGTTCTTCAATCAACCTTTTGT